CTTCGTGCCAAATGCTGAATAAGATTGTCCACCATGCGCTTTCCTCCTGCCTAAATGCGAACCAATTTTGTACATGAGACACAATAATGAAATTAGTGATCGTAGTAGATATTAAAAAGTATTCAACACAAACAACATAGCCAAAATCGAAAGAAAAGAGGAGAAAGAATAAGATAGTAATGGAGTAAAGAAAGACCTCAGTCCATTTAACAATAGGTTTACCAACACGAGTCGATGATGAACTGCAAAGATAATATTGCATCTCAGTCCAAACTGTAATTATTAAACAAATTGAAATTTTAAGTGAAAAACTCAGTAGAATAAAATCAAAAACAAAAACACTTATAAATAAAACAAAAAACACTAACTAAAAAAGCTTAGGCAGGTAAAACAAAAACAAAAAATTACACTTGACATGATAATTAAAAAATAAGTATTTATAAATGACTTTATTCATAAGTATAAAAAAATTAATAATACATAATTAGATTTAAATTCAACAAACAAACAAATCTTAAAATTTTATACATAACAATTATTTATTTAACCTAATAAACAAATGTATACAATGCTTTATTTTATAACAACCCATAAACATAAAGTAAAACCAACGAAACACAATAAGATATTATAATTCCACTTGTAAATATTAAGTAGGTAGCTTACATAGGTGGTGTTTATTGAGTGGGTCGTACATGGGTTAATTGTGATCGACTCGATTTGAAAACTGTTCGACTCATGTTTTATTCAATTCCATATTTGATAAGTTTGATAAAATTATGTTCGATTCGTTCTCTGTAATACCCCAAATTTTAGTTAGTGGCCAAAATGTAAAATTTAAAAGTTTAGCAACCAAAGTATAAAGTTTAGAAAAGTTTAGGGACGAAAAAGGTAAATTTCAAAAGTTTAGGGATCAAAAGTGTGATTTCCAAAAGTTAGGTGTTTTGACCTCATAAATGAATAGTTCACCCCAAGAATGATGTTTCGGTGGGAATCAGATTCTTGATCTGAAATTTGTGTTAAAAGCTATAAAGTGTTAAAATTCGGTAAATCGGATCGAATAAAAAATTTGAAAAATTTTGAAAGATATTAAATTATTAGAAATATCATTTTCACATTTTAAAATGATGGAAAATAATATGGATCATTGGATTTGAGAATATATTTCATGTTCAATTTGGACAGTTGGATGAAAATGGCAAGATTGAAATTTTTGGAAAAGTGCATGGACAAAGTTGTAAAGGGAAAATTAATTTGTTCATATTTGACTTTGGATGATAAGTAACATGTGGCTTGGTATGGATGTAATTATCAAATTTCATTCATGATAAAATTGTCATTTCCCATTAAATGAATTTTAAATTCATTTAAGCTTAATATATGACAAATGCACATGAAATTAATTAGAAATTTCACGAAAATAAGACTTTCTTCAACCTCCATTTCGTGCTCCTCAGAAACCCCAGGTAAGAGAATTTTTATTTTTTATTTTTCATTTTTGAGCAATTTCCTTTGGTTTTTGGATTAAGACGTGAAATAGAAAATTATTCTATTCGAAGAGCTCTATCATTTGGTATCATTATTGCATGCTAATCTTGCTTGAATGTCAAGTTCCCAAATTCTAAGGTTTATGTTCATGTTAGGGTTTATGAATTGATTATGGATTTTGAGGTTATTGAGGTTGTATACTCATTTCCAAGCTCGATTGATGATTAAAACCACCTAGAAATGCATCTATTGAGTTTGGAGAATTTTGTGATTTGATAAAATTGAGTTAGGGGTTTAATTGTAGAGGTTTGAAATGTTGAATAGAGGTTGATTTCATGCTTGAATCAATTGAACTCAAGTGCAAATCATGGAACCCTAGTACTAAAGTATTCGGTCATTGCTTGAATAAGTGAGAAAAATTATGGAAAGTTATGTAAGGGTTGGAAATTATGTAGGAAGGATTCTACAAGCCTTAGTAAGTATAGGGACCCTTTGGTAATTTTTTGAAAGTTGGGGACCTATTCAATAATTATTGAAAATTATGGGATCAATATGCAATTGCTTAATAGTTGTGGTACTATGCTAAAAATTAATGTTAGAGTGTTAAAATTGATGATTAGGATGTGAAATTGGGCCCTTTTGAAAAGTTGGTAAAAATTGAGGTTAAAATCACAAGTATGGAAAAGTTTGGAACTTAAGTGAAAATATTGTGAAGTTTGGATAGTAAAGGAATTTGAATGGTAGATTTGAAGTGTTAAGGTCAACCTATATTTTGGTGACATGAAATTAGTATTGAATGAGCATCGGAAAATTTTTAAGAATTTATTTTTTCATGTGTGCCTATGTTAGTAAGATTCTTACATGTGGTTTGAATTTATATATGTTTTGTATTGATGCTCATTTAGATTGTGTGCTTGAAACCAAGATCGAACATTATTAAAGCTTAGGAGAAGCTTAAGGATTGTGAATCTCTAAGAAATGTTTACAAGCTAAGGACACCAGGTGAGTGCATATTTATTTCGTATTTATGCTATTGTGCAAACATTGGATTGTGATGAGCCAGGGACGGAGTTGCTATTGTAAGAAGTGACTCCTAATGTTGTGAGACCTTGTGATTTATGCATGTATCTACATTTGGTGATCTAATAGAATTAGTGAATAAGCTGAAAATGCAAATTGGTGAATTCTACCAGGATTTGTTATCAGAACAATAATTTTATAAAATCACTATAAATTCTAAAGAAATTATTATAGGATGAATTTTATATTGTTGGATTCATATATAAGTCTAGTTTTGTGTAAAATAAACGGATATTGATTTTGAGAAGTATACAAAAAGATATGAATTTTTAATTGATGATAGGTAAGAAAACAGGGCAACCGTTTCTACTCAAAACAGCTTATGTAAGTAAGTTTTGAAAATTCATTATAAATTGTACAAATTGAACTGGAAAGAGTGATTTATATGGTTGGATTTGTATTCGAATATAGTTTCGAATGGTATAAACATAATAATTTTTAAGTGTATATATTAATACATAATAATATTTCTTTGAAGGTAGTGCAAACTATCAGAATATGGAATTCTGATAAAATTGGAATAGAACCAAATCAAAAGCAAATGAACAAGTCAAAGCTTAGTGAGACTTATATTTGGACTTGTATATAATTTCAAAGTAAGCGCAATGCATGCGTAACATTATACATGGATGTTTTATATATCATCAGGTAGGACTTGCGATAAGTCTACCTTGTTTATATTGACATGATTTTTATGTCATTTATCATACATTTGACATATACTAAATAGTCAAAGGTTGAATATAAAATGCATTGATCACTAGTTGCTATATATGATGATTATCATGATATATATAATGATGTTAAGTCATGAATGTTATTTCGTGTATGAACTGACCAATGTTAAAATATATTGGTATACTTTGCTAGGGATGAATTAATCAAAGACTATATGCCTAAGTATGTTATTGAGGGTTGGTAGTATTGATGGCATGCCATAGAGTCCAGCAGCTGCATATTCAGGATTGCACTAAAGGATAACTAGTGCATATGGTGGGCACGACCTTATGTGTCGCATTCGGGACTGTACCAAAGGACACCTAGTACAGATGGTGGGCACGACCTTATGTGTCATATTCGGGCTATCACTACGGTGCATTTATTTGACTCGAATGGGTCCTCATAGGTTTATATTTGGTCTATGGTTTACGGGTTAAAAAATGATAAACATGTGAATAAGCCTATGAGCTTAGGTAAGAAATTTTATATCCGGTTTAAATTCTGTTAATATATGGTAACATGGTTGGAATACAGGTAAAGTGATCATCATGCATTGAATATTATTTTTATTTACATTTATGTGTTGCATGGCCTTGAGTGTTTCTATGATTGTCTCATTAAGTGTTTACTTAGCGTGTGATGATTTTCACACGTAGGAAAAGAAATAGAAAGGAGTAAGGAGCTAATCTTGACATCAATCACCAATGAATCTTTTCAAGTAACATTGATGACATCCTATGGTATTCTAAAGTTTCTAGCCGGCATGTATATGAATAAAAAATGTCTGCAAACTATTAATATAGTCAATATCAAATATAATTTAGTATGTACAAATATTATGATACTAAACTATGTTTTAAATATTACTTTAAGTGGGATTTTAAACCCGACAATCTTATTTATTATATGAAATAGAGTAGAACCTCCATTTACTGCGTGAAACCGAATTTGAAACAGAAGCTGAAATATTTATTTTGGTTTTACACAATTAAATTGTTTTATTTTAAAGGAAACAAAATTTTATCGGATTTTCAATTAGTAAATGTTTTATAAAATTGATGTGACATCTCTAACTCATATACGAGAATATATACGGAATAAGGATGTTACATGATCTTTAAAAGCAACTCGTTGCTTGACTTGGATCGGTGTTTGTTAAGCTTGCTAGAATTTATTTTTTTAATATATAAATTCTAATAATACAAAGCTTCAAATAAACAAAAATTAACAAACTTAATAAAAAAAGGCTTATGTTATAAATCAATGCCTAAAGTATACTCTTTTTTCGTCTAAGTACCTAAAGTATTTTTTTGGTCAAAATAAGTACTTAAACTTATATTTTTGGTAAAAATAAGTACCTAAAATATTTTTGGTCAAAATATGTACCAAAAGTATTCAAATTTTTCGTCTAAGTTCTAAAAAGTTGATATGTGTCATTTATTAAAGAATATTTTAGGTACTTAGATAAAAAAAATTGGATACTTTATGTATCTATTTTGACCAAAAAATACTTTAGGTATTTATTTTGACTAAAAAAATAAGTTTAAATACTTATTTTGACCAAAAACTAATTTAGGTGCTTAAATGAAAAAGTCGATATATTTTAGGTATTTTTTCTGATATAAGCGTAAAAAATAGTTAAAATAGCGTGTGAAGCAATTTCAAAGTCTAAACTTCATATTAACTATCTACAATACACTAAATCAACATATTACAATCAAGGTAACAATCTACAAATACATTAAACTAACATATTACAATCATTCTTGAGAGAAAAAAATAGTGGGTTGCTTGGGAACTAAACGAGTCAAGGTCCGTCTTACTCGACTTGTTAAGATCTCAAGTAGAACCAATTCGAATCAATAGCTGATCGAATTTTGACCAAATCGAGTTTAAGTTACTCAACCGAGTTAGCACCCCTAACTTCACATGATGCAAACTAGTTAGGTGGTGCTGCAGCTGTCTCAACTTTGGCAGCGTTCCCTAGAACCTTGCAAACGGCCTTAAGGAAGAGAGGGACGTAAGGATGGTTGGGGAAAATGATGGGCCAACAGTAGTCGCCGAGCAGATTGATGGCTACGCAGCACTGGTGTTTGAGTTCATCGTACGTCTTGTTCGAAACAGCGACGTGGATGGCCTCGACGCAACCTTCGACGCTCGTCAACGAGAAGAGGCATCCCCCGAGGTCTTGCGTCTCCACTTCCGATCCCGACGGAACCACGGCCGACGCGGCTGCGCCAATGTAGGTGACGGCTAACCAAAACATGACCGCTTTTGATGTTGTTGTTATTGCCATGGAATTGTTCAGATGATAAAGCTATAGGCTTTTTTGGTTTTGAAAATGGTTTGGTGATTTACCATGGTCTAAGTGGCCATTTATAGCACAACTTTTGCAATAAGTGTTCCTTTCGAGGGTAAATTACACTAGAGGTCACTAAACTATGTTAAAATAATTGTTTTGGTTTACTTACCTTTGAAAAGTCACAAAATAATCATTACATTAATCAAATAATTATTAAATGATCACTAAAAATTATTGAACTATTACAATGTATTATTGAATTTTATCTAAATTTTACAATTATGACTAGGAGTGAGTATTTGATCAAGTAAAGTCAAAAGTTTTGAGTTAGTCAAGTTTACGAGTCATATTTTATAACTCAAACTTGACTCGAATTTTTTTAAAGTCTAGTTGAGTTTATAAAATTCGAGTTGAATCGAGTCAAGTTGTTTGAGATTCTTTTTAAATTTAATTGTAAATATCTACAATGTTATGATACTAACTTATTACAATTTAAATAACTTTCTATAACTATGTATGATATACATATATATTTCTTTATATATTTTCATATGTGATATATATATATATATATATATATATATATATATATATATATATATCATGCATAGTTGAAAGACTCGAGTTGAACTTGAAAATCGATCAACTAATTACTAAACATTTCAAATTATTCGAGTTATTCAAGTCCCTTTTTATAACTTGGACTATATTTGATTTTTTTAGTTTAGTTTGTAAATTATGAGTCAAGTCGAGTCAAGGTTAGTTCACACGTAATTATAACATTATAATGATCATTTTGTAATAATTCAATAAATTTAATGATTATTTGGTAATTTTTAAAAAATATAGTTAGTAAAATATGATTTAAGTATAGTTTAATGACCTTGAGTATACTTTACCCTTGTTTTAGTTAAAAAAATGGATGGTTGGCAAAATATATATGTCAAAGGAACAAAAACTCACGTGAAAGGAAAATATAAATATATTTATCCATCTGATTTTTATTTTGTTCTATTAGAAGCAACCCGTGAGTGGGAGGCAGCTAAAGCTGTCTTTTATTTATTTATTTATTTATTTATTTATTTGGAAGGAAATAAAGTATTTTATTATTTTCTAAGTATGGAATGTGTAATAAAAAAAATTAAATGAGATCCATTGCTGGCCATGGACTGCCCACTGGTTTGAGGGCTTTCTGCCTTCTTGACCTTCTATTTTTTTAAATTAAATAATTTATTATTTTACCCCTATTCTAAGATTTTGTCTCGATTAATTTGGAGCGATATGATTCACACAGAGACGAAGCCAAAATTAAATATTGACAGGAGCCAAAGTATTAGACTATTTAAGAAAAATATAAAAACTTATTAGGTATTTAAACTCGAAATTCATGCATGAACAAGCGATCTTAGTGATTAAGGGGATTGTTGTTATCCTTGAGGTCCTAAGTTCAAGCACTGCGTATATAGGGGTATGAGTGTTCATTGTCAAATAGTTGAAAGTCTTTGTACATATACTACCTTGTATTCACCTTAAATTTATAATAAAAAAACTCAAAATTCACAAGACAACTTCTAATTTGTCTAATATTTAAACTTACAATGACCTAAATTGTAATTAGACTAAAATTTTGAGAACACGTACTTATCATTCTTTAGTTCGACCACTACTTGATTAAATATTTAATAAATTTTTATATTTATTTTTACATGAACCAAAATACTATTAAACCAAAATTATATCGAATATGCAAATTTTAACAAGGTCCCTTGGGCCTTAAGGGAGCTCTGTCCCTGGCTTACACATCTAATTTGGTGGGTGAGTCTCCCAGCCGAAATTTTCTGCATACACAGTGACTCGAACTCGAGACATTATTTAAGCGATATCAAATTGCTTACTACTTGAACCGATTCATGCTGGCAAATTAAATAATTTAATAGTTAGTCTTTGAATTTAAGAATTTTTTAACTTAATTATTAATTTTTTCACATTAGTCTTTAAACTTTATATTTTCTAAGAAGAATATGAACTTGCACTTTGGAATTATTCGTATTATAAAACCGTTATTTTCATTGACATGCATTTTATAATTAAAAATAATACCCACTTGACAGCCATGTAATTAAATTAAAAAAAAACAAGGCATGTTAAATATAAAATTAAAAAAGAAAAAGAATAGAGTTAAAATAAGTTTTAAGTAAAAATAAAATATAATAAAAACTTGAAGGAATATTTATGGCAAACGTGTAGTCATTTTCTGTTGACTATTGCCTTGGAGAAGAACCCTAGTTTGAAGCCATTGGCATCAAGAAAATCATATGGCCGGTTCTTCTCATTGTCTTCTTCTTTTCTACTAAAACATTTCATCATTAGGGACGAAATTAGAATATCAACTTGGGGATAAAGTATACTTAATCATAAAAAATAAAATGAAAAAAATATAATTACTCATATAAAATAAGGAATAAAATAAAAATTAATTAAAATTAATAACTCCAGTTTTGAATTTATCCATATTTTTTAATAATAAAAAAATGAGGAAATTGCTCCCCCAACAAACAAAACACATCTTTGTCCTTGTCCATGGTAACCCTCTAAACCCTAATTTTTGAAGTCCAGATTAGGGGTGTAAACAAGCCGAGTCGAGCTCGACTCGACTCGAAAACTCGCGAGCCTAAAATTTTCAAGCTCGACTTGAACTTGAAATCATGAACTGAAGCTCGTAAAAGCTCGAAATTTAAAAAAATCTTAAACTTAACTCGACTGAAGCATCAAACTCGAACTTGAACCTTAAATACATGAAAACCTTATACTGCATTTTTTTAAAAAAATCAACACATAAATGTTAATATTATTAATAATTTATTTTTTCAAATAAAATCTTAATATATTATATTTTCGAGCTACTCACGAGATTTTCAAGTCGAGTATCAAGTAGCTCGTTTCAGCTCGTTAAGAACTCGATTCGAGCTTGAGCTCGAGTCCATTCGAGTCGAGTATTTATCGAGCTTTGATCGAGTCGATCTCAAGTAGCTCGCAATCTGTCTCGTCTCATTTACAGCCCTAGTCCTGATGTATAATCTAGGGTAAATTATGAATTCATTACTTAAACTATTAGTTTTAGTCTACTTTAGTATATAAACTTTTATTTTTTTCAAAATCATACCTAATATTTAGTTTTCATTTCATTTTAGTGCCCATCCGTTAAAAACTTAACACGTTTAATACCTCTTCCTACAAGGGACAAGTTACTCAAAATGGGAATCACTTTAGAAGGGACATGTGTAAATTGCAACATTGAACAGGAGACAAGAAACCATATTTTCTCTCAATGTCCTCTAGTTGTTCAGCTTTGGAATTCAATTCAGTCTCAATGATCATACCTAATTTTTTTGAGTTATTTTAAATTATGACCGATTCGATAGAATGTGTAAGTTTGAAAGATCACCTATTATTGTAACATGTCACATCACAATTTCCATTAACTTGACGATCAAACTTCATGGTGAGTGACTAAAATAGAAATGAAATATAATGTTAGATATGATTTAAAAAAATAGTTAAATGACCAAAATAAAAATAAAAAAATAAATGAGTGACCAAATAAATAATTTACACAATAAAACCAAATGTGTACTTATAAATTAAGTAATGATGCATGTATATCAGATATTACTAGTATTAATTAAATGACATAAAAACAAATTTACCCCCAAACGTTTGCACAAATGATCACTTTATTTCTTAATCATTTTCTTAGAGCCTTTTAGTCCCAATATTTTATTTTGGAGTAAAATGTATCGTGAATGGATAGAAATCGTTAGTGGACTAAAGGTCAAACACTTCCTATTGATGTGATATGTTCACGTGTGATGCCACGTCATAAAACTACTTTTATAAATGTATATGTAATTAATTATAATTATAGTATACTTTAAAAATATTTTTTTGTTGAAATGGCATCACACATAGACTTGTCACGTTCATATGAAACATTAATTATTAATTAACTAATAATTTTTTTGGGGTATTATAAAGTTTAGGTGAGGGATGACTCTACAGTCCACGGCCAGAGCATACTTAATACTTAATTGGGATTTACATAGGAATTTACAGATTGCCCACCAAGAATGACGGTGGTAAGATTCAAACTTGGTTAAGCTTAAATTCTTGAATCTTAATCACTTGTATCAACACTCGTTGGCATCAACCAACAATTTTCAGCCAATCAAAGGATATTTTGTTCCAAAATAAAATCTTAGGACTAAAATATTCTTAAAAAATAATAGGGGATGATTATTTATACAAACGTAGGAAGGTAATTTTGTTATTATATCTAATTAAATTTATTGTTTTAAAAATATCCTAATTATTTTATATAATAGGAAGTCGATGTTTCAAGTTTAGTGAAAACAAGAGATAAAGCTGAATACCATAGTCGTCTGGTTCCATAATCTTAACCACCATTTTTCTTGAGTTGAAAAGATCCTGAAATGTGATGCTTAAATTCCTCAAAATGGAGAACCCAATCATCTCGTCTTCAAAAAAATTCAACTTTTCCAGTTCTCCTCCAAAAATTCCACATACCAATTACATTGACAATCTACAAGAGAAATCAAACAACTCCATACTTTAATCATCAAAACAAGGCCTCTCCAAACCCAACTCATCTGCTCCAAAGTACTATATTTTATCAACCCTATTCCCCTGAAAGCCTTAACTACGCCAGAGAGCTTATCAACCACTTGGACACTCCTCGTTTGCAGCTTAATTTTTACAATTCATTAATCCAAGCACTTTCCAGTTCCTCACAAAGCATTGCATTGTACAGGGAAATGATAACTGAAGGTATTTATCCTGACACTTGTACTATTCCTTATGTTCTGAAATCATGTGTCAATTTCCGTGCCCTTGAAGAAGGCAGACAAATCCATGCACATTCCGTTAAGTTTGGGCTTAGTTCCAATGTTTATGTTTTTAACACCCTGATTCGTCTTTATGCTATTTGTGGGGTTACTCAATATGTTAAGGAACTGTTCGATCAAAGTCCTGAGAGAGACTTGGTGTCTTGGACCACCCTTATTCAAGCTTTTGTTAAAATGGGTTTTGCTAAAGAAGCCACTCGGGCTTACTTTGATATGTGCAGAGCAAATTTACAACCCGATAAGAGGACGCTTGTTGTCGTCCTTTCGGCTTGTTCTAGGCTAGGAGACTTGAGTTTAGGCACCCGAATTCATGAGAATATATGCGATGTTCATGATGTTTATTCCGATGTTTTCGTTCGCAATGCATCGGTTGACATGTGTATGAAGTGTGGTGATACGGACTCTGCGCTCCAGTTGTTTGAGAAAATGCCTGTGAAAAATGTGGTTTCCTGGAATTCCATGATATCTGGTCTAGTTCAGCAAGGACAATTTAAGGAAGCATGCATGTTTTTCATGATATGCAAGGGATAGGTCTTAAGCCCGATAGTGTTACTCTTGTTGCCGTTTTGAATGCTTGTAGTAATCTTGGGAAGCTCGAGTTAGGAAAGTGGGTTCATGCATATATTGATAAAAATCAAATCAAGGCAGATGGGTTTATAGGGAATGCGTTGGTGGATATGTATGCTAAGTGTGGAAGCATAGAACAGGCTTTCGGTGTGTTTTGAGGAATGGAATGCAAGGATGTCTTTTCTTATACTGCCATGATCGTCGGATTCGCGATGAATGGAGAATCTGAGAGCGCATTGGATATCTTTGCAGAGATGCCTGTGGTGGGCATCAAACCGGATGAAGTGACATTCGACGGTGTTCTTTCGGCATGTAGTCATGCAGGAATGGTAGGGGAGGGTTGGAGACACTTTGAGGACATGTCAGGAGTTTATAATTTGGAACCTCAAAAGGATCACTATGGTTGTATGGTTGATCTTTTAGGCCATGCTTGACCAATACGCTAAGCAGAAGAATTTATAGCAAACATGCCAATTGAGCCTGATGCGTTTGGTTGGGGTGCATTACTAGGAGGTTGCATAATTCATGGAAAAGTTGAGCTTGGGGAAACCGTGATGAAACAACTCGTAGCTATCGAACCTGAAAGAGACGGTGTATATATACTCATGTCGAACATCTGCAAATAGATGGAAAGATGCTCTAAAATTGAGGAAGGCAATGAAAGAAAGAAAAATGAAGAAGGCTCCAGGATGTAGTTTGATTGAAGTCGATGGAATTGTTCACGAGTTCCGAAAGGGAGACAAATCACATCCTAGAAATGAGGAGTTAAGGAAGTTGTTGGCAGAAATGGCAATTCACTTACAGAACCATGGTCAACTTCCTACTGGCAACTTTATAACTTGATACAGCTTGCGTCGATAGCAGAAAAACGGAGGCAGGGAGGCGTATCTGCTTGGTTTTCTCAGAAGACTGCGTTCTTCAAATAAGCTGCAGGTTGTGAAAAATGGGGTTGAAATTCACATGTATAAGATGCCTATAAGGTAACAAGTTTCTCATTTTACTCCTTTTAACAATAATATGACATCCTCATACTTCTCATATAAGATGCCTACAAAAGATTACGAGTTTACTCATTTTCCTGTCAAACAAAGACCATGGCCCCGAGTTCGAGAATGACAAATGATGTTATAAGCTTTCCAATGATTTTTAAGTTACTAAAGTTTATGCTTGATGGGGTCCATAAATTGCTTTGTATATTGTTCAAAAAACTTGTTGCATGTACACTTCTTCAGGTAGGTCACCGCACATGTATAAGAGCTTGACGTGTTCGATAGGAGCGGAGGCGGTTTTGGACACCGCAGCCGAAACTCCGCCCATAAGAAAATCGATCGCAAACAAGGAAATGCTTATTCAAAGGAGCCGGGACACATACTCGCGATGAACTCAAACGAGCCGGAACATGTGTCGTGGAGTGCCATATTGCTGCACTGTAACTTGCCGATGCGACGAAACACCGCGGAGGCTGAACTGGTGTTCGGAATCCTCCACAGCGGTTTCGAACATCTAGCGAATGGCCAGAACCGAGATGTTGTCTGGCGACCTTCTGCATTACACAAGGATGTTGATGCCTATCTACCATCACTTCACAAAAACAAATTGAACAAGACGAGAAACAAAATTAAAATCTAGGACAAAATGTATGTAGCACATGTATAAAACCAATTATAAGTAAAAGAACAAAATGCATGCCGAAATGAAAGCACACCCAAATAAGGACAAGAAACAGTTATCAATCGTATATCACCTAATCATACGAATGGAAGACAATCGAGATAATTTAAAATTTTTAGTAGATTAATTTTAAAGTTTGAGTCGAATTTCTCAACTATGTATGATATATATATTACATATAAAAAATATGAAGATATTTTTAATGTTTAGTTGAGGTTTTAGTTTTGTTGTCATCAATTTGACAACAAAGTCTAGATTGAAGCCATCATATGGGTAGGAAAGATTTTGTGTGTGGCATGTAATTTTATAAGGAAAAGTAAATTATTGGTCAAATATGACAAAAATTCAAATTTAAATTTGCTACCACTAAAGAATTCAAGTTTGATTTTTTTTGACCATTAAATTGAGAAGTTGATAAGTTGGCGAGTTGACAAGTAGTTTGAAAAGGAGATAGAAAATTACTCATTTGATCCCTGAACTATTATGTAATTTTTAAGTTTAGCCTTTAAACTCAATTATAAATACATCTAAATATCTTTATTTGAAATCATCCCAAAAATCTTCTATTACATTTGTTTTTTCTTTATTCTTTCACTTTGTAATATTTTTGGGATTCTAAGAAATTTTATTTATTGTAATATTTTCTTGATAATGAAGTTATCATCCGTTGGTGGTGCTTGAAGAGTAAATGATATTTTGTTAAATCTCGTAAATTTGGTTTGTTCTCTCCGTTATTGTTTTTTATTGGGTTTTCCCATTATGTTTTAATATTCAATAGTTTGACGGGTTTGTTCGCTATGTAATTTTTATAGTTTTGATTTTGATGTTTAGATCAATTTTAAAACTATATTTGTGTGGGCAAGACGACGTAAATACCATGTGACTTCAATTTTTCGGTTAAAAACGCATGAATTTAGCTTTTCCAAACATCCATAAAAATAAAGAACAAAGAAAAAATAGTCGGTGATGAGAAAGACACTGTGATCCATGCGTCTTCGCAGGAAAAAAATTGAAGTCGCATAGTATTTCCGATGTTCTTCCCTTAACATTATATCAATGACTCTAAATCAAAAAAATAATATTTTGGGTACGTTATACGGAAAAAAAAAATTCCCCACTGCTCTACGCGAGCAAATTTGCCTGCAATACATATTAGGAATTTTGTGTTTGGACATAGACTTTTATATACCATGCGACAGTTGTTGGTTATGACTAAAAAAAGAGCATGTGTAAACAAGTTTCGATTCGATTTAAAAATCAATTTTTTAAATTGAGTCAAATTAAAAAAAATTGATTCGATTCCATTTGATTCGAAAAAATATTAAATTAAAGTCAAGTTATAAAATAGAATTCAAATAAATTAAATTTTTTTAGTAGATTGATTTTTAAGTTTGAGTCGAATCCCTCAACTATGTATGATATATGTATATTACATATAAAAAAAATGAAAATTCCATTTTTAAAGTTTAGTTTAGATTTTAATTTGGTATATCTCGTTTGAAAAAATAAAAGGGTAAACTACGTGGTTAGTACATAAATCATAAATTTTGGTCTGTATTAATACCTAAACTTTCAATTTTTTAAAACCATACGTAAAATTTTAGTTTTTATTTCATTTTAGTATCCTACCATTAAAAATTTTAGTTTTTGTTTTATTTTAGTACCCTCATTCAAAATTTAACGATGTTTTTAAAAAAATTGAAAGCTTAGGAATTAAAACGGACCAAAACTGATAGTTTAGACACTAAATGTATTAAGTTTTTAACGGCGAGTACTAAAATGAAATAAAAAATAAACGTTTGTATGATTTTGAAAAAATTAGAAAGTTTACATATTAAAACAGACTAAAACTGATAGTTTAAATACTAAATACATAATCTACCTAAAAAACTATTGACATATTTTTTTTTCTTTTTTGATGATGATATAATATTATGGATGACGCCACTATTAGATATGATTTTTGTAAAGAAATAATATTTGAGTATTAAAATAGAACAAAAACAATAATTTAACTACTAAATGTGCAGTTTAACCTTTAAATATTTCTATATAGTGAAGTTACCTAGGTAGGTAAACAAAGAATGAAGAGCTCTCCAGTCTTCACTGGCCGACTCAGGTATGTGCTTACACTTTCCACCTCATATACCTTGTCTCTTTTAAATCTTCTTTAAATTTGTTTGATTAATTTCCTCTTCATCATATTGTCCACATTAATTTTTTTCCCGAATCGCAGTGTGTATTGAGATGATAAGTGAAGTATTCGGTCTCATCGAAGAATCTGTTTCGTCCTCTCTTTCAGATCTGAAACCTTAAGGTATGAAGAAACTCGATTACCCCGTTTTAATCTTTGAGATAATGTTGATGACATTTATTCCCTAGATATTGTTGCTGTTGTTCTTTCTACTTTCGTCTCTTTTGGATTGTTCAATCGGGAAAATTTTAACAGATCTTAATAGATCTAGCTAAACCAATTTTATCGGCCTAGATTTTGGATGAATCACTGTTAAATTTGACCAAAAATTACAGAACAAGACAGTTAGATCTAATGAATATAATTTGCTTTCCGATTGTTGTAAGTTTGAAAAGGCGAGGCTCTTATTTCCAGTTTTTGGATCCTTCTTTTCCACGTAGGTGTTTTATTGTTTTCAATTGGAAGATCTCAATGCAAACTGTAAGCAAATTGCAAGACAACGAAGGGATAGCAATGAAAAGATGTTTCGATGGCTATTATCTAAATTTTAAGCCTTCTTATCAACTTGACAACGAAGTCCAGATTGAAGCTAGCATAACTGTAGTCTACGGGATGGGTGGTGTAGGAAAGATGTTAGGAGTGTGATTTATAATTTTACAAGTCTACGACTTGATAAATTCCAAGTGGTAGTTAAAATTAGCATGAGTTAAGTTTAACTTTACAACAATCAAATATTATAAGATGACAACCATCTTGATCAAAGAATGATGCAAATTAAATGTATCAAAAATTCAAGTTGAGAAGTGGCTATGATAGGCACCAAATATTGGCAAGTTGATTCAAGTTGGTAAGTTGTCAATTTGTGTACATAGAAAAATTATCATTTGCTCCATAAACTATTAGGTTATTTGTAAGTTTAGTCCTTGAAACTCAACTATAAATAGGTCTAAGCTCTTTCACTTGAAAAATTCCTAAAAAGTGTTTTTGTCATATTTGTTTTCTTCATTCTCACACTTTGTAATATCGTGAAAATTCTAAAGAATTCCATTTGTTGTAATATTTTGTCGATAATGAAGTTATCATTCGTTGGTGGTGCCCGAGGAGTAGACAATATTTTCGTTGAACATCATAAATTTGTTGTGTTCTCTCCATTATTGTTCTTTATTGGGTTTTTCTATTGTGAATTAATATTCAATAGTTTGACGGGTTTTATTAGCTCTGCAATTTTGGTAGTTTTGATCTTCATGTTTTAGATCAATTTTGAAACTACAATTGTGTGGGAAATAACCCGGTTTGCCCATCAGCTTGTACAAGCCTACAAGTTGGAAAGTCAAAGTGTTGGTCAAAATCGACAAGAATTCGAGTTCAAATTTGTTACCGCTTAAGAATTCAAGTGTGATTTGCTACCACCAAAGAATTCATGTTGACAAGTTGGCAAGTGGTTTGAAAAGGTGACGGGAAAATCACTCATTTGGTTCTTGAACTATTAGGTTATCTATAAGTCTAGTCTTTGAAGTTCAACTATAAATAGACCTAATCATCTTCATTTGAAATCATCTAAAAAATCATCTCTTCCATTTTTTTATTCTCCCAATTTGTAATATTTTTGGAATTATAAGGAGTTTCATTTGTTGTAATGTTTTCTTGATAGTGAAGTTATCACCTGTTGGTAGAGCTCGAGGAGTAGAAGATATTTTGTTAAATCTCATATATTTGGTGTTTTCTCTCCATTATTGTTCTTTATTTGACTTTTCCATTATGTTTTAATATTCAATAATTTGATAGGTTTGTTCGCTATGTAATTTTGGTAGTTTTGATTTTGATGTTTTAGTTCAATTTTGAAACTACGCTCATGTGAGAAATAACAGGGTTTTCCCAATAATTGGTATCGGAGCTTTAGTTGAGTTATCTCGGTGGTCTTATTGTTGAAAATATCAAGTTTATGCTGTTGAATATTGTTCATTGGTATTGAAATGACAAAATATGAATCAATTAAAACAATAAGATCTTCATCCATACTAGTGAGGAGGGTGATGTCAAATGCAAACTTCTTAGAGGAGTTATTTGATGGATCTAGTCATTTTGGCATATGACAAGACAAGGTGTTAGATTTTTTATTCCAACAAGGTCGAAACATCGCCATTGAAGAAGAAAAGCCCGCAAATATGGAGGGAGAAATAATGAGAAACAATTAATCGTTTGACATGCAGTACGATTCGATCTAGTCTTTTCTGGGAGCGTTAGTATGGCTACAAGAACGTGACTTCTACAAGTAAGCTGTGAAAATCATTTGAGGAAAAATTCCTAAAGAAAATATCTCATAATCATCTCCACATAAAGAATATATTGTTCATATTTGATCATCAATCAGATACCAATATGAATGAACACATCACTGCCTCAAATGAGCTAGTGACAGATTTATTGGGCATGGATGAAGCCTTCAAAGATGAAGATTTAGCTTTAATATTGTTGTCATCTCTTTCAGATGAATTTAAGCACCTTAAAAAACTTTCTATAGTTATGAGCTCAAAATTAAAATCGTAAAAAGAACAAGTACAAAATAATGGAAGCCATGGTGGTGAAATGAACTTGAAGTATTTTTCAGAATTTGAAGGGTTCAATATCATGTTTATGAGCACTTTATAAAGCTTTCTATAGTTATGAGCACTTTATTTTTAATGGAATTTGAAGGGTTCAAGATCAAGTTTATAGAGCTTATTTTTCGGTGAAATGAACTTTGAATTTGTGTTCATGAGGTCAAAATGAGTGAATTGAACATTTTGGAGTCCAAAGATCGTTGACGGTGGTAGTCGGTTGTGACTAGTGATGGTGATTGGAAACGATGATGAGTGGCAGTCGATGACGGAAACTTTGATGGATTCATTATTTAAATTAATATTTTATTGAAAGCTTTTAGGTTAAATTAATATGATATATAAAATTTAAAGTCAAATTAGTATTCTATCTAAAATTTATGAACTAAATTAAATTTTAATTATTTTTATTAATGTATTATGTCAACATGTTAATAAAGACTGGTAGTCGGTGACAAAAATAAGATGATCTAAAAATAAAAGTGTCTGAAACATATTAATTTCAAGATTAATAATTAAAATAAGATGTAATTTAGTTAGGGATGGGCATGGGGTGTGGTGGGGCGGTTTTTTTGCCACCTCGACCTTGACCCAAAATATATAACTTATACATGATCTCATTCCGTCCAGATTTTCAGATAAAAATTCTAACTCCGACTCTAGCCCGACCTAAACATATTAATATTTTAAAATAATTATTATATTTTAATTTATTAAAATAATATATTTTATAATAACTCACTATATTTTATTAATTAAATAACATATTGTAACGCTATAAAAATAAAAATGTTATATATATATATATTCGAATCGATTATTTTTTACCTTAAACTTTGTCTAGTCCCGCCTTGAACCTATCTATTATATAATCAATCCTATTTTACCCCGAAATTTGAACAAAACAATAGCTCTTATAAAATCGGATCGAGTCGAGATTTGTTGGCTTCTGATATTTTGACCATCAAATAGTTTAGTTTTTCTAGGCTTAAATACACTATCACCCCCTGAACTATATCATTTGTACTGAATTGCCTCCTAAAATACTTTTCAAGACGTTCTGCCCCTGAAATTTAAATTATTACCTTATTTGCCCTAAACTGTTAACACTATTTAAAAAATCACAGACTAATCAAAACATACTACATCACCTCTTAATTTTTATTTTCTTTATCTAAATAAATAAAAACCAATTAATAAAATAAAAGATATAATATACCAAAATTACCCTTTTTTCGGGTAATTTACTCGGATATTGCAGTTGGATTTTTTTATGTTAAAAAATATTACACACCTTAATTTATTTTTCAATCTATTGTGCTTTCTACATAAATTTGAAGTTGGTGTGCTTACACACCATCTTCACTGTTCATGCAATTATCTTATAATTAAAAATTTTAAGATGGTAAGATTACACTCTTCTCCTTCTTCACTATTCACTTTTTTAATTTTAAATTCTAATGTACAGTGAAGACGGTAGAATTAAACTCCATCTTCATTATTCATTTTTTTTTAATTTTAAACTTACATCTACAGTGAAGACGGTATGCCAAATTTTAGAGGGTGTTCAAAAATACTCGACATGGTTGATACGACACGTTGATTCACCAACCCAAATTAAAAAAATCTAGTAATTCTCTTAAAAAATACTCGATTGGGCCGGGTACCCGACCCGACATTTCTCGAGTCGAACCCATGTCACAAAATTACATTTTTCAGGATACCCAGTTACGTAAATATCCGACTATATTTATTTTTTTATATAATAATATTATATATTTAATTATTAACAATTTTATATATTAAATTAAACTAATAAAATTTAAAAAAACACCCACCTAGAAAATGTATGTTTAATAATTAATATAATAACATTTTGTTTAATAATATAAGTTGTATGTTTTTTAAATTAACAATTTAAAAATAATAAAAAATAAAGTACACGATTACTCGATTTATGGGTACTTGTAAAATCTGGGTACTCGATTATCGGGAACCCGTAACATCCGAGTCGAGACACGGGCAGGTCAATCAACTACCCTAAGGCTCATGTATTCAAAACTTCAGGTACCCAAAAACCAGGTATCTAGATTTGAACACCCCAAATGGCCATAATCCAACTTCACTATTCACATTTTTATTTGTTATTTTTGCTACAATGAAGTAGGTATATCTACATATGGATGTAAAATCAGGTAATCGTTCAAGATTCAGGTCGGATTATGTCAGGTCAGGCTAAATTAGATACGGGCTATGTCAGGTCAATTTAATAGTTTGGCTCAAATTAGGTCGGATCTGAGTCAAATCAAGTTCGAGTCATTTCCAAGTTAATTTGAAATCAGATTTACTTTAGGTTTAGTCGAGTTAATTTTAGTTCGGATCAATATTAGTTCAGACCAAAACAATTTGTGTGAATCAGTTCAATATCATGTTAATTTAGGTCAGATCTCGTTCAAATTGGATAACGTCATTGGAGGATAAAATTCAGGTTAGATCTTATAAGTACAGATAGACTTCATGTTGGGCATTTTTCAGGTGAATTATTTTTTTACTTTCATAAACGTTGAATTGTAATTTGAAATTCTATAGACTTTGAAGTAAAATTAAATAAAATAGAAATAATTATGGCCAATTTCATATAAAAAATATTTTAAGGACTAAATTGAACAAGCATGAAATTAGAAAATGAAATTTAAATAAATTAAACAACATGCAAGGATCAAATTGAAACAACTGTAAAATGTAAATCTAAAATTAATATCACATTGAACTAAATTGAATTCATTTAAAAAAATTGGTGATAATAATTTATAGGATTTGAAATTAAGTTTATGATGGGATTTATAGGTTTGGAGTAAAATAAAAAAATAGAAATAATTATGGTCTGATTTCAAATAAAAATATAACATTAAGGACTAAATTTAACAAACATAAAATTTCAAAGTGAAATTTAAACAAATTAAACAACATGTAGGGATCGAATTGAAATAATTGTAAATTATAAAGCTGAAATTAATATCAAATTAGACTAAATTGCATTTATTTTAAAAGTTGATGAATAAAAATTTATAGGGTTTGGAAATTATGATATAATTTATATGGTTTGTGTCGTTGCCGTCTTTCGGTTGGGTCCCGGATTGGGCTTCGACTTGAATAAACGGGTTAGAGTCGCCACCGATCGTTTTAAAAACATTTAGGTAGATCGAACACCATCTTACATGATCTGAGTTTTCCAGAAATGTGTTGGGTTCGGGTGTCGGTTACGGTCAAGGAAGGATTAGCACC